TCTTTTTATTTATTGCTATACAAAAATTCATGTTATTAAGAATTAATTACTGCTGATTTTGTTGTTCGTTTTGTCATTTTTTTAAGATTGAAAATCTTGCAAAATTGTTAAGTCGTACGAAAATTAGATCATCAGAAAGTTATCTCCCTTGCCTTGAACACTATTTCAACCAATGAAATAATTGAAAATTTTCTCATCATGCATTTTCTACCAATCACAAAAGAGAGGAAGTGCATAGTCCAAAGACTGTAAAAAACTTCAACTATGCAATACCGTCTTCCAATTGCAAGGAAGACGGTAATAATAACTGCCCTTTTCCCGTTTCCCAATGTACAATGATGAAAAACATCAAAGTTCAGGTTACAGTAGCTAACTGGACCCTTCCAGCCCCTAGGACCCTGCAGAAATCTGTCAAGGGATACCCCCTAATGCCCCTTACCTATCCCCAGTGTTAGTTTGTTCTGGAGGCCGACAATGAATAAAATATGAATGCTGGAAATATGCCCCAGGCACTTGGCACCACCAAGTGGTGCCACTACAGCCCCATTTTGAAAGTGGGAAATGATAGCCCTAGGGCCCCTCTACCTTGCCCCAGTAATCATTTGATGAACACTTCAAGGATAAGGCGTATAATAACTGCCCTTTTCCCGTTTCCCAATGTACAATGATGAAAAACATCAAAGTTCAGGTTAGCTAACTGGACCCTTCCAGCCCCTAGGACCCTGCAGAAATCTGTCAAGGGATACCCCCTAAGGCCCCTTACCCATCCCCAGTGTTAGTTTGTTCTGGAGGCCGACAATGAATAAAATATGAATGATGGAAATATGCCCCACGCACTTGGCACTACCAAGTGTTGCCACTACAGCCCCATTCTACTTGGTAGTGCCACTAGAGCACTATTTTGAAAGTAGAAAATGATAGCCCAAGGGCCCCTCTACCTTGCCCTATTAATCATTTGGTGATCACTTCAAAGATAAGGCTTTGAATAGCTGATCTTTAATGGCGTTTTTGGTATATAATGCAAAACAGCCAAAGTTCTTAGTAGATAACTGGCCCTTTCCGGTCCCTGGGACCTCTTGAAACGTTGACAAGGGATTCTTCCTAAGACCCTTAACTCTTCTCCAGTGAAAGTTAGTTAGTTCAAGTGTCCAATAATTGATGACGAATGATTGCTTGAAATATGCCCCTGCACTTGGCACCACCTGGTGGTACCGCTAAAGCCCCTTCTGATAGCAGGAAATAATAATCCTTGGGCCCTTCTATCTTGCCCTAGTAATGTTGATCACTTTATAAATCATGGGTATAATATCTGCCTGTAATATCAAAAATGCTTTTGGAACCACTTGGTGGCACCACCACCACTTATTACTGATAGTGGTAATTTATAGTCTTATAAATTCATTAAGTTGTCCCAGTAATAATGTTCGAAACATACTTCAACATAGTTTACACTTGTGCCATACCGGTATTTCGGTTTACAATCATTATATTAATCAAATTTCAGGTTAGCTAATTGGCCCTGACATAATCTTAAGGTCCCTGAAGGAGTTGAAAAGGGATTCTTCCTGAAGGAGTTAACCATTTCTTAGTGCTTGTTTGTTCAATTGGATAAAGATGATAAAGTAATTTATTTCTTATTTTTCAGTTTTAAAAAGAATAATTTTTTTGTTCAGGTGAGCCTTACTGCCTCTGAGTATCTGATTTATTATGTAATTAATTGTTGCATTAATTTTCTAATCATTAACCATTAATTATCTAAAATAAATTATTAAAAACAGTACTGCGTCTGGGTACTCTCAGTTCTTTGATGAATTTCCTTATTGGCTGCTAGCTTCTACGCGCTTAGTGGCTGCTGTTATTGGCTGCTAGCTTCAGCCTGGTACTTAAAAGTACAGCATGGTAGTAATCAATAATACGATTTTATTAAACAGTCATTGTGAAAAATAACGTTGCAACAAACAATAGGCCAATCAAATCACAACTTTTATAAAAAACAAATGGTGAAAAATAAGGTGGCAACAAGCAATGAGCATTTCAAAAACACAGCTTTTAATCCATCTTTGAGAAATTGTTTGTCCTTTTCCAACCAACGGCTTAAAAATTACTAGACTCAAAACATTTGTAAAACCCATGAAAACGAACGATAGTTTTTTTTCTTCCCGAATTTTCTTAATCCGCCATCAAGAATGTTGCAATTTTCTTTAAAAATATAGTAAAAATATAGTTCATAACTTAACTGACGACTCATTTTGCCCTGTGTCGGGAGAGGGCAAGCAAACAGTTTTATTGAATAATTCTTGCATTGTTTAACCTGAGCCTACGATTAATTACATACCAGTCTAGAAATGTGTGGAAGCGATAAAAAATCAACATAGGAGCCAGTATTTCCTGAATTTTTCCCATTCAGTTTCATCAAAAATCCATCCCAACAAATGGTTAGACTCTTCGTATGTGACATCGATAAAACTATTCACGAACCAGTATATGAAGTTACTGATAGCCAGGTATAAGCAAAGGATATCCAAGGGGAAAATATTCCTCTCTGGTTCATTGGTTAGAGTAATTCTCTCTATATAGATAATTAGTATGGATTGCCAGACTGTAAGAAAGACGTCAATAGCGTTATTTGCTATGTAGATGTACCCCTTAAAATTCGAGAACTGAATTCCTGCTATTATTCCATAAACTCCAACGGCTACAGTTCCTGCTGTGGCAAGCAAGAAAATATATTGTCCCGGAGACAGAATATGATGGTCTTTCTGTTGATGTCCGAACTTATATATCCGGTAATATATTACCATAATGATACCAAACATGATCAATTTATAAAGTGTGTCGATAACTATCAAAGTGCAAAATACGTTGTAACTATCGGGGCTCACCTTGGAGAAAATGATCTGTGTGACCACAAACATACCATTCACCACAATTGTGAATATAACAAACAAAAAATGAGTTGCAGGGTGTCTTTCAAAAGGTCTCTGGATTTCTGGTTGACGTGGATGTAAAAGTGATGAGAGCTCATTAAAATCAGCCGTGTTTAATTCAGAAACTTGCTCTTTGCTCTCTGACGGAAGCATTCTTAGTATTAGTCCTGAAGATAACAGAAAAAACTCGATCATTGCTGGAGATAGATAGGGATTCAAATAAACCATCGCATTTCGTAAAATGTTAGAGTTCCAAAAACAAGGATCTATATTTGACCCCGGTATCTGACCCTCTGTGTAATAATCATTGATATCCTCCATTAAGGAAATAAACCACTGAACAGCGTTGCTCAACAGAACCAATAGAATACCGTAATTGATGGCAAGGTGCTTTCCAAGTTTGTATCCTGAGAAGTAAGAGATAAATCCCAGCTGCATGCAATAGAAAACAATGCAAGCAACGTCTGTAAAGGCCCAGTGCATATGTTTTGTATCTAATGTAGATGTTGAGTTGTTCCCGTTCAAGCAATCAATATCGATCGACAATTCAATGCACTTGTCAACAATGGTAGCCAATCCAAATATCCATAAGAAAGTGATACCTATTTTTGCTCCTTCTTTTTGTCCCCTAGGGTAATAACTTTCACGATACCAAGTATCTGTATTTCTGTAGGCGAGTACGGATATCCATATTAAGGCCACAATAGCGGAAATTATAATAATTTCACTAGAAATCCAAATTACCAAGGAGGATACAATATTTTCAACCCGGCTGTTTGCAAAAACCGCCACCAGGGCAAAACATATAGAAGTAAGGCATGTAACAGTAACCGTAGCTGCTATCCTTCCATCTGACTTATAATGTCCATTTCCATCCTCAATGAAATTTCCAGCGGTCAGTGGATAGATAACGATAGAGTCCTTTACAGCTCTAACAAAGGCTATTATATTACTCATTCTAAGACTAAAGTGGCAAACAAAATACTTTTCTTTGTTTCAGAGAAATTTAAAAGCTTAATTGGAGTCCTTCACAACTCTAGATAGCAAAGGCTTTGATATTGCTCATTTTATATTCAGCTACAAATGTGATTCTCTTTGGATGAATATGCGAAATATATAATTCAAGTACTTCATGAACTTACCACCAACGGAATCAATGTTCATTTTGTAGTTTTATTATGGGCACAGGGAAGTATAAAACTTCATGAGAGAAAAATACATGTATGGTTCCCTTACTGCTTTTTACTAATTAAAATCTCTTAGAATTTTGAGAGATCTATAAAAACTCGAGTTTATAACGCTTTGACAAGTATCAACTAGTATTAAACAATGCATGTTATTTCGATCCCTTAAGCTTCCCAAGTCAAGGGTTTTTGACTCGATCTGCTCCACATAAAGCCTAGGTGAAGCGGAGTGGATCAAACTTGCTAGACTTGGGTAGATGGATCCCTTATGACTCTAGGTGATATTAAAGAAAGAATAAAAAATCCCGAAGAGCAAGTTATGGATACCTCTTTTTCTCACTTTTTTTGTGTTGAAACTTTTCATTACATTTGATAGATTGGTTTATATTATAAATATTACATCCCATTCGAATTTTTTTTCTGTCTATTAGGACAATCATCTGTTTAAGATGATGTTCCACTATTATGAGATGTGAATGACGCTAGGGATCATAGTAGTGAGAAACTCTATTATGCCACGCCTACAGGGACACAGGACCTCGATTTCAAGATCCCATCCACAGCGTTTTCATAGTTAATGTGCTTGGCGAACGGTTAGGTGTTCTAGTATGTTAAACGACGAAAATATAAGGCTTCACAAGGAACTCCTATACCACGAAACGAGCGTTCTAACAATAATCTGTCGCGTCCTTTCTTTCAGAAAATACTAAAGAAGAAAACTGAATCGCGGCACTTTATGAATTTTTTCTTAGTGTATTCGATAAACAGGGAACACCAAAAATGGACAATCAAGTGCTGTGTTTTTAGTTTGTTGTTGATCTTATACATACAGAGCTAAAATCCTTTCATTCCACTTTATTTTCATCTGAGAATGAACAAAACCAATAAATGCATAATTACAAAATTTTTAATAAATCAGCAGTAAGCATGAGTAAGTTATGTTTTTAAATCACAAATTACAAATGTAAATCATTTCATAAACTTTACTTAAATTTTCTGTGTAAATTGTACCAGTCAATGGAGACATGAAATCGATAAAATATCAAAATGGGTGACAAAATAGTGACGATGTTTTCCAGTGTCCCTGTGTCGATGATCTTTTTATTATGGGTTCTGAACTTTGCGATGTAATGGACGTCGATGAAGCTATCAATAAGCCATAAGGACAAATTACTGACTGAGAGTAATAGACACAGTCGATCTAAGGCAAAAGATGATCCCCCATCAGAGCTCACCACTAACTTCTCAGCATGGATGATCAACACAGTTTGAAGATACGTTCCCATGACATCAAGACAGTTTTCCACAATGAAAAGATATCCGCCTTTTCCGGGAACTTCTTCGGTCCCGACAATTATGCCTATTGTGCACAAAGCAACTGTTCCAGATGTGGAAAATATGATAAGATATTGCCCAGAGGAAAGTTTCTTTGGTTTGACCTGAAATTGTTCGTCATTCCAAGTTATATGATAGTATATCATGTAAATCAGTATCATCATACAAAATTTGTAAACCAAAGTAAACGTAAACCAGGCCTCACGTAATCCAACACTGTAATGCTTCTCTGTTTTCGTCAAGTACACGAAGACAATGTTTCCAATAATTAATGACATATTCAGAACAATCCCTGTTACAATGGAGCAGAAATGGGAGACAGGATGAATTCGAGTGTTTGACAAGTTATTTCTGTGTTGCAATGCGTTGTATCTTTTGGAAGTGGATGAACCTGGTATGAGCAATGCAAGTTCATCGTCTGGTTCCGATAGATCAGCCACTGGTGTAGGGTTCATTTCTTTTGGGTCAGATTCCTCATCGTCTTGTATGGAAGGCCACATGCTTATAATAAATCCAGTAGACAAAAGATAATATTCCACCCGAGCTGGACCAACATAGGGGTCGAGGTCCTCTGTTATGTTGTAAATTGAAGAAGACAGAAGGCACTCAATGTTTAAAGTGTCATTATTCCTTTCTGTTTCAGGATTGAAATTTATTTCTTTTATGAGGGAGTCGAACCACTTGCTTAAATTAGCAAGAAGTATTATCAAAATACCATAGTTGATGCATAGTGAGGGTTCAAATTTGTAGTAACGGAAATAAGTTATAAAACTCAACTGACAGCATAAAGATAGTATTTGGAGGAAATGACTGAACGTGCGTTCCATTGGATTCCAGCTCAAATCGCCAGCTTCAAAGCTGGAAAAACAGTTGATGTCTATGCATGCATTTAAAGATTCATGTAATATGCAAGCAAACCCGAAAAGCCACAAGAATGCTACTTTGATATTCGTGTAGATTGCAATACGTCTAAGTTCGGATGGTTTGTACCAACTCTCTCTATTTTTGTACGCCAGCACTGAGATAAAAACCACTGACGTCAGAGAAGAAAGCATCAGCAACACCATCATTACCAATATATGTTTATTAGCGAGTTGTTCATAACTTTGCTTTGAGCCAAATATACCAATGATGGCAAAGGTCACGGCTGTGACGAAAACAATGGTAACTACGGACGCCAAACTTCCGTTAGTTTCCTCAGGGTCACCATTGCGGGTCGGATATCCGGCAGTTAGGGGGATCTTGATAGCCGCTCTATATACAGCTTTTGCGAACTGCTTAACTATATCCATTTTCTACAATACATAGATCCAAAATTATTTTCAAAGAAATATAAATCTAATCTTGTGATGCTATTTCCATACTGTGCTGTGTATTTGTCTCGCTACATGTATCTGTCTATCAGACATCGTGTTTTTTGTTTTTGCTTGAATTTAGAATTATCAACTCATTAGAATTATAAACGGTAGAAACTAGAAGCGTGATTCAAACTCCTTTTAGGATCAAAATAGTCCGAAATATCTGACGTTTTCCTAGCCTTGTTTACGATTTTGATATTTTACGTGCCAGTAAACGTCAAAACCGTCCCCATTACGAAAACTGGGAAATCGCCGCCTCCAACCGGAGGCGACATTCTCGAGTTGATTTTAGATACTTGCGAATAGAATTAAATTTCAAAGTCACAAGTTATCCATAGTGCAATACTTTTAGTACATACCAATATCGTTTCTATGGCTCATTTTTAGAATAATTATACAATCTGTTGAAAACATTTTATTAGACTGTCGAGAGTTGTCTCCATTTCGTGCATTTTAAAATCTTGCAACATCTGTATCTAAATGTGGAGAGATATTAATTTTTCTTTTCATCGATATTTGGTAAGTACTATTGACATTGTGCTATTGATAAATTCTGATTTCGGCATTTATTTCGGTTCGCAAGTATCGAAAATCAACTCCTCTAGGAGACGGTGAAATTCCCAGTTTTCGTAACGGTGCCGGTTCTGACGTTTTCTTGGCACGTTAAATATCAAAATCGTAAAAAAAATCCTGGAAAACGTCAAATATTTCGGACTAAGGTCAAAGTTGATGACAGTGAGAAATATCAAATAGGCTCTAACTTAAGAATATTGAATGCTTATATGCTTGAATGCTTACACATCTTAGTGTATTTTTTCAAAGTTTCAGTGCAATGTGTATAAATAAGAATGCTTTGAACAACATTTTGTTAAGCAATGAAAGATAGTTTGTGCGCTTATTTAAGCTTTTGTACATGTAATATAAACATAGATGCAAAAAAAAGAACGTTAGAAAATACTGTACATTCCCATAGAACTAGCTATTTTTTCTTAGTATCTCAGTTTTTTTGCTTTTAATAAATAAATGAAATACTTTCAAATAACAACAATATGTGAGATAGTATGTAAAAATATTGCTTTGGGAGATTCTCAAAACAGTTTTTATTCAGATAAATATGAGATCCGTTTCCAAATAAATGTTATTTTGCACTACAGTGTGTTTGCTGTGAAATGAACAGAATGAAAAAAAGAAATCTTTTACCTTCGTCTTTAATTACTAGTATATAGAAATTTGACTAACCTTCACTTCCCCAAAATCAAAGATGATTTGTTCCTTAAATAACCGATGATACAAAAAGAGAGAATCCGCAATAAATCTAAGAGTTTATTATTCCTTGAAGATATAAAAAAAAAAATCACATAAATAATATTGCACTTATGAAAATTTATATCTGTATGTGTGTGGTTTAATTCCTTAAAACTATTGAAGTTATAAATAACTTATTTGGTGAAGAGAGATTTCCGTATAAGCAGGAAGATATTTGTGGCTAATTAAACATTTAAGGTTTTTCCGCAAAACATGTACATGCATATACATGTACATATATCTGATAATCGATCGCGATAATCATTATTACCTGATATGTGATTATGTATAAATGTTTTTGATTGACTTAATTCATTTTTTACAAATATTGCATTTTAGTAGCTTTGATATCCAAGAGTAGTTAAAAAGTATTAATTTTATCTTTTATTAATAAAATGCCCTAAAAATCAGTTGAATAAACTGATTAACTGATCGAGAGAAGGAAATAATAATAAGATATTTAAACTCGTATCCTTATTTTCGTTACAATGTTATTCTATCGCGTTTGTTCTATCTTTATTTGTTCGTGACAACAGGTATCATGATTATAGGAACCCGCACTGTTAGGTTCTCTATAGTGATCAATCTATCCGTCAGTCCTTCTGACTGCACTCAAATATGCCTTTAGCTATGGTCAAATATTTCCCCCTTGTTGTGCTCATGTATCCCTCTAGCTGTGCTCAAATACCCCCTAGCTGTGCTCAAATATCCCCACCTGCTGTGCTTAAATATCCCACTAGCTATGCTTTTATATCCCCTAGCTTTGCTCATATACCCTTTTACCTGTGCTCATGTATCCCCCTATAGCTGCATGTGCTCAAATACCCCTAGCTTTGCTCATATACCGTTCTAACTGTGCTCTAATTTACCTCTAGCTGTGCTCACATATCTCTCAAGCTTTGCTCGTATATCCCTCAAACTCTGCTCATATAGCCCTCTAGCTGTGCTCGTATATCCCTCCTGCTGTGCTTGCTATCCCTCTAGCATCTAGCTTTGCTCAAATATTCGACTAGCTGTGCGCATATATCCAACTAGGTGAACCCATATATCCCTCTAGCTGTGCTTATATACCCTTTCTTCTAGCTGTGCGCATATATCCTTCTCGCTGTCTCATATATCCCTCTGAATGTGCACATAAAATTCTCCAGCTTTGCTCATATACCTTTCTAGCTGTGCTGATAATATATCCCTCTAGCTGTACTCATATATCCCTCTAGCTGTGCTCATGTATCTCTCTTGTTACATGTATGCTCATATATCCTTTAGATGTGCTCATATACCCTTCTAGCTGTGCCCGAGCTGCAGAACTATAGCTCTCCGAAAAAAATATTGACAAACCAGAGAGCCACAGTACCACCCATTCAAAAAATGAATATTTATTGCGCACAAACAAGTGCGCTGTTTCCCGATATATTTCTCAATGTTTTTAAACTTTCATTTCAAAATATTACTAATCGTGTGTTCCTTACATATTATTTCACTTATCCTCAACAAAACATCCCTTATAATTTTTGTTAATACCCCCCCTCCCCCCCCCACGCCCTTAGATTAAGATCATCGAATTCGAAAATTTCGCCTATTTGTACTGCCATTTCAATTTGCAAAATAGTTCGGTCCTAAACGCTTCGTGCAGATATCGACTATGAGAGTACTTTATAAAGGAGTGAGGAATTTTTCAAAATCTCTTTTTTACGATTGAGGTAAAAATTTGGAAGAATTAATCCAGAAATAAACGCAACTTTTTATGCGCAATAAATATATTATAGTTTTTACAATGGATGACACTCTATCTCTCCGGTCGATCAATATATGTTTTTTTCGGAGAGCTACAGTTCTGCAGCTACATATGTAGCTGTACGTATATATCCCTCTGGCTGTCTCATATATCCTCCCAGGCTGTGCTCATATATCCCTTAAACTGTGCTCATATATGCCTTTAGCTATGCTCATAATTTCCCTCAGGCTGTGCGCATATATCCCTCTTGCTGTCTCATACATGTATATCCTTTTGGTTGTGCTCATATATCCTCTAAGCCGTGCTCATATATTCCTCTTGTTACATACATGTATGCTCATATATCCCTCTAGCTGTGCTCATATCTCTCTCCACCTGTGCTCATATAACATCCATAAGATGCCCCTGCCTTTGTTGAGGGTGGCCAGGAAAGTTGAATCAACTCACTATATCAAAAGTGAAAAAAAAAATCTTGGTCGGAGTAATCTTCTATCACTCCTATATTAACTATACAAGTAAGGTTCACACTTCATCCACAGAATGCCTTTTGCATAGTGCTGTTCTGTGACCTTGAACCAATTTCTGTCAAGATAAAAAACCCTTATATAAAAAATCTTTGTTTGAAACATATTAAAATCTTTGTTTGAAGCATATTTTATTTCCTCTTAGCCCAGTTGGGCTAATACTGTACATATAGAATTCCCGTGAGTCGAGGGTGTGCAGGGGCATGAAATTTATTCCTATACAGGGAAAAGTGGCTTACGTGATATTCATGTGATTATCTTTTTATTAGAAAAAATATATATATTTTCATGTGAATATCGTGTGAATAAAAGTTTATATATATGATATTCACACAAATCTTTTTTTGAACTTTCATGTGAAGTTTTCTTTGCATGATATTTATGCGATATGCTCTTTATGCAAAATTCATATGAAATTTATGTCAAAATCACATGGAGTTTTCACATAAATTTCAAATGTCTTGTTTTTTTTTTGTCTTTTTTATGCGGAGAATTCACATGAAATTTGTGTGAGCCACTTTTGCCTGTGTAGACGAAGGTTTAATGTCAGAAAACCTTTGTGTAAAATATGTTTTATCTCGAAGTCTCCCCTTGACTCTACCAGAATCAAACTTTGCTTATAGAACAAGAATATCCGAGGGTAGAGTGCTTGCAGTGACCTTGAGACAAAAGTGATTTCTACTCTTTATTTTAACCGAAACTTTTGTTAAAAAGTTAAAGGAAATAAGAATTGTAATCATTTTCATTGTAATGTTTTTTGAAACATTTGTCAAATAATTTTAAAGACCAACCCACTCTTAAAAAATCTAACAATAAATAATATTAAATTTTTATTTATAGCAAAAATAAATATATTTGGTTTTTTTTAAAATTTTTTATTGCCAAACAAATATTGAACAAAAATAATCAATCAAGTAGCAGTGATAAAGAATCTTACAAACATGCATTTGCACTGCTTTACAATGATTTTTTTAATATAATTTTTATTACTTTTACAACACTTTAGTATAAATAGTGTCTCTTCTTATATTGTCTCTCTTTTTCTGCTATCACAGTCGTCATACACGTTACCTAATCCTTTCTCATTCTAGAAAAAAGACCAAACAAATCAATGGACGCGTGGAAACGGTAGAAGACGAGGATTGGGAAAATGACATACTTCATTACTTTATTTGTTTTGAAGTTTTTGCTGTCTGCCAGAGTATAAACACTATTTTCCACATTGCTAAAGCTATCGCCTACCCAAAGCACAATATTACAGATAGACAATAGCAGACACACATACTCAGCTGCTAGAAAACTGTCCAGAGTTTTTCTTATGGTCACACGCGTAGAATGCATGATTAAAGTCGTCTGCAGAAAAGTCAAAATAATATCGATGATGTTTTCGGTCATAAGAATATAATTTTGTTTGTTTAAGCTCACAATGAAATCGAAAGTGCAAACTGCAATTGTCCCAGCATTTGCAAAAACCAAAATGTATTCAGTTGAGGAGAGTTTTCTCTTCACGTTGTTGGATTGGCCATATTTCGTGATATGGTAGAAAAGAATGAATACCATTATCAACATGGACAATTTGTACGCAGCCATAATGGACCATCTAACGTTAGCGTGCATGCCGGGTTCATACATGTCCACTCTGAAGAGAACGAGCACCGAAGCGATAATCACAGGAAGGTTTAAAACGAGACCAAACAAAATGGCGAGGAAGAACGAAATCGGATTGCGGCGTTTTGGCTCTTGAAGACGAACTTCGGTCGGTGGAATTCGTCGTCGTCTTCTTCGGAACAAAGGCGTATATTCATCACAACTTTCCTCGATGTTATCCATATTGACAGAGTCTTCCAATTCCTGGGAATCATGAATTTCTTTTTTGACCGATGGCCATAATGATAGCATAAAACTTGTGGCCAGCAATGCGTACTCTATTCCGCAAGGGTTGAGGAATGGTAGGGTCTTTTCTCGTAAATCATGAATACTGGAGTTATGAAAACACTCCAATTCTTCATCGATACCCATTGTTTTGTTTCTGATAAAATTAAAATCCTCATTTTCTCCGACGACGCTTGTGAACCAGAGTGTCAAATTTGTTAGCAAAACAATTAAGATACCATAGTTTATTCTGACTGAACTTTTGAAATTGTAGTCTTTGAAGTAACTAATGAAGCCAGTCTGAATGCAGAAATATAATATAGAGACAATGTGAACCACCATAAACGCTATCACGTATCTCTTGTCATTTTCCTTATCGAAGCAATCAATGTTGATAGCCAATTCAAGCGCATTTTTCATTATTATACCAAGACTGAACAGCCAAAGGAATTTTCCCTTAAATTTTTTGGAGGCATCCTCTTTTACTCGCGCTGGGCTGAACCATTCGTGTCTTTTTTGAAATGCGAGGACTGCAATGAGAACAATGGCAAACAGCGCCATTGCAGTCAGAACGAATGTCATCGTTGTTATGGCAACCGTTGACTTCCCCGGGTCGTCACTCTTGGCATATATTCCTATGACTACGAAGGTTATTGCAGTTAAGCAGGCAATGGTCACCATAGAGGACAAGCTTCCGTCAGTTTTTCTTGCGTCGCCATCGTAGCTGTTTTCTGATTGGACGACATTTCCCGCCGTCAATGGCGTTATGAAAACAGTGTTTAGAACATCCAGTACAGTGGCTACGTAAGGATGCATTTTTGTGTCTGTAAGAAATTATGAACAAGATTTTAATGACTTCTCTTTTCAAGTTTAGAATTGTATACTTTTTTAGGCGTGTGAAATGCTACAGTGTAAGGCCATTCAAGGACCAATATACGATATGTAAGGTATGTAAAGGTTTTGAAATTCCAACGCAACAGTACATACCATTGAACGATTTACATGCACGCGTTATGCTTTCTCTTGTGTCGGATGGCGATTGTTTTTCACACAGTCATATGTAAACACGTGTATTTCTAACTTTATTCTGTAACGATTTGTTTTCTTAATTTTTTTTAGTGGAAGTACTTGCTCTTAACCCATATTTTAAAGTGTTCAAAACTCCAAGGACTGATTTAAATTGAGGTTTAAATTTAATTTTTTTGGTAGAAATGGCGAATTGCTTTTTACACAGTCATATGCAAATACATGTTGATATGAAATATGCACTTTTCATTTATGTACTACACATTGAAATTTGTATGCTGGCAATAAAAGAAATGAAACATAATTTTTACCATTGTTATCGTTTGTGATATATATAATCAATCAGATATAATAATTTAAAGGCCACTGAAAGTACCCAAAATCTAGCGTACGGAGTGGTCATTTAATGGCCATTGTAAAAGGTCGCCGGCTGAGTCATTTGGTCAACCTTTAATGGTCATTTCAGTGATCATTCAGTAAACTTTCCTGCACTGTAGAGATTCATGAGAGAGAGAGAGAGAGAGAGAGAGAGGAAATTTATATGTAAGCAACCAACCTTATTATCTCTTGAAATTTTTCTGGTCTTCACCGAAAATCAGATTTTACCACAAGCAATCTATGGCCGCGAACAATTTTGAGGCAAATCCTGATCCGTAAAGGAAATAATACAACACATCCTCAAAAATAATTATTCGATAATGATTCTTTCGCTCTATATTTATATTCACTTGTGTTTTACACAGTCGTTAAGCATGAGAAATTGCAATGAATGTCGTCCGCCAGGAAGTTTATAACCAGGAAATAAAATTTATAAGCTCAAAAACGTTCATTAGAGTGATAATTTGAAAAACTTCCTGTTAGATTACAAGACAAGCTGTGATATACTAGTATTGAGGCGGAATTAACAAATTCTGGATGGGTTACCTCGCTTTGAACTGAAAATTAAATTTTTAGGAAGTTATCTATCTAAAAGATGGTTTACAGATGAAGTTATAGGAATGGCTAAAATAAAATAAGAGAGAGAAGCAGAATTTAAAGAAAATGATTTAAAGATTTAAATTTTTAAAGAACACGCAGTCTATGATTTCTTGAAAAAAAAAAGCTTTGAAGTTATCATTTGCTTAACCTAGGTAGACAATAAAAGATGCCACTTCATTTTGTAATCTTTAATTGCTCAAACAGAGATAAATTTTATTTGTTTAACACCATATTAAAGTCTAATAATTGTTCATTTTGTATTAAGAAAGGATTACATTATTGGTAACCATTTTCAATGTGACTGTTCAAAGATGTTGGCATTCAGGACCGGTAAAGGTCTGTGTTCTATAACTATTGCATTTGTTAATTTTTCGGTTGTATTTTGCTGCACTCCCAGGTGTGGTATATTGGGATGGACGTCTTGGGGCTCGTGCTCATCAAATGGGAAACGATTAAGAGACCCGATGCTGTGTTGCCCTCCGGATCTGACGGTCCATACTTTGGAGGAGTGCTTAAGAGTCTGCAATTTGTCCAAAGCCATGGAAGAATCAAAACAGAACTGCTCTTATACATCAACGGAGCCGCTTGACACAACTACTAATGATTCACAGATTTTAACAAATATGTTGTCAAGTGCTGCTATGGATATTGTGACGGAAAGCTCGGATATCAGCACTCAGAACCTTAACATAACAACTGATTCTTTTGGTGAAGTCCAAACAAAGTTATTAACTTCAACAGAGCTATTACAGAATGAATGGACAGATAATTCGACACAGGAAAACTCTTGTACAGATTCAAAAGTTTTCCAAGCGGGAACAACACAGTCAATGTCCAGAGAGTCTACAGTGAATGCAGACAAACATACAACAAGAACAGTACAGAAAGAGACATTGGGCAATCACTCGACACTGGATATCTCTGGTACAGCTACAAAAAATCTTCCTTATGGCACAACACAGCTAGTGTTCAAGGAGTCTACAGATGAAATAAACACATATCTAACAAAAACATTACAGAATGATACTCCACCGGTTATTTTCAACAAAACTTCCACTCAGGATATCTCTGGTACATCTCTTATAGTTAAATCTACTGACAACACACAGTCGGTGTCATTAGAACACACAGGGGAAACAAACACATATCCTAAAATGTAAGGTTTGAGGAACATTTTTATATTTTTTTCTTTATTAGAGAAGTCTCCTATTTGTATTTTGCCGCTAAAGCAAGTAAAAATATTTTGTTTTGTTTTGTTTTTTATTTTATTTTATTTCAACAGAACACTGCAAGGTTCAGCAACTGGTGCATTTCAGGAGACAAGTAAGTGTTCAATCAATTTTCAGTTATTAAGAAAATTATGTGCATTTGATCATTACCAGGGATCATTACTACTACGTATACATGTAGTTGGTATACGTATACATGTAGTTTTAATCAGGACAAAACATAGTCCAGACATTTGACCACCATTTCTAATTGTTATGTTCCAAATATACAATTGTGTTTGGCTGGATATTTTAAAACAGTATTACATGCCCTTGTGTTGAACTCAACATTTTTAATGATGAAGTAATGAATACCATAACCCCATGGATTCATGGATGTTTTTTTTTTTAGTCCTAACGATTATACCACTTCATTTCCATGGGAGAAAACGTATAAGATTGGATTTTTTCTCCCACTGGGATTTATTCTCCAAAAAATTGATCAGAAACGGGATGAATCCCATGGAACTAATAAGTAGAAATTAAATTTTTTTTCATTCATTGTCAACCATGAGATAAAAAATTAAACACTCGGATGAATTGGGCATCACCTTTATTATAACACTTGGTTGTTATAGAAGATAACCATTTACCTCTTCTTCTAGTAAAATATTCAAATTTGAAATATAAGGATAAATCCTTCATGCAAATCGTTCCAAGAAGAAATTGTATCCTTAGCATTTTGCATTTTACGTATTCTGTTGAATATTCAATGCGAACGAGTTCTTGTACCCAATATGCAAATGACCCACAAGCAAGGAAAGTTGACGAAAAATCACTTTTAAAAATAAATGTTTGTCATCACTTTTTTACTTTATTTTTGCATAAAGCTTTTTGACCTATGTATTAGTTATTACAAATAGATAACCATTTACCTCTTAGTTTCAACAATGACAGCTAAAACCTTATCAGTAAAATATTCAAATATGAAATAAATGTGTCAAACTATGTGTCAAACAATGTAATATCTTTCATTTCAAGCTCAGCAGGATATACCGTATCGACATAAGAATGGGAGAAACCATTATTAATTGCCAATGTGTCGTCGATATAGCTGAATGTCGAGTTGAAGGACAAAACAAATGTTTTTTGTTTCTTTCTTATTATAAGATTTTGAACATATTCTCTGCTTCACGTATATGCAAAAAAGGGTCTGCTTATAAAGGGGCGCAATTGGTATTCATGGGATTTCAAATAGTTAGTAGGCGGGCCTGGTCTTCAAAATCCACATACACTTCCTTATATTGTCATGTTATCAATCGGAAACACAAGCAACATTTCACATATCAACTTCAGTGTAAATGTAGTTATTTGTACAACCAGAATGTGTTTTCAACAAAGTGATTTTGAAAATGATAAGGTAAGTAAAATTTCGAGTCCATTTTTAATTGAAAAGCAGTTTCAATGAAGGACATGGAGATAACGAAAAGTAGTCAATACCAAAGTCCATGAAACAATACAAAATAGGAGCAGAGCAAACACGGACCTCCGAAACATCATAGGTGGGATCATGTGCCATGGAGGAGTGAGCATCCCCTGCCGGCCGGTCACACCCGCTGTGTGCTCCTTGTCATGATCAGGAAAGAACGGAGTGTATAAATAATGGATAAACAATTATATAATTAGTATGAAAAACGTCAGTCAGCATTTGACTCAATGATAAATTGTATTTGCTTACGAGGTCATTGTATCGACAAAAGAATTTACGAAATGGTGACTTTAAACGAGTCTATACATGTATTCTTTTTCATCAACTTGTCTGTCAATAACTTAGTACCTCATTTTAGAAACTGTTCAAATGATATCAAAAAAATCAAAATAGCCTGGACTTTAAATAATGTGGGGAATGGTTGTATATAAAGTTTAAAAGTCGTAATTTTTTTTGATGATTTTGGTAAAATTATGTGATTTTGAATTTTACAAAAAAGTTCTTTGGAATTTTGAAATATCGATTTCTGATTTTTGGTTGTTTGAAATATTAAAAATATTCAAAACTGACGTATAATTTTGAAGAATTTCCTTCTAGAAAGGGAGTCATGGTATAACTGATTACCCCTTTTAGAATGGAATTCCAGTTCCTCTAAAATACGATTTAAAGAATGAGCTTTACACTGTACAAAGATATCCCTCTGTGGTACATGGATACCGGTCCTTTGGATGAGACCGTATAAAACGAGGTGTCGTGTCACAGTAGGTGCTGGCACGAAAAAGATCTTTCACTGCTCAGTGTCTGTAAATGCTTAGTTTAGGACAAAACTTTGCAGCTTTCTAGGAGCAAGTGTTGGCGGCTCCTTATGATGGGAAAATTATCGAGAGGGATGTTCATAAACATACATACAAGCAAACAAAAAATACAAACACAATGTTGTTACCTGCTTGTCAGCAGGGACCAGTACTCGTACATATTGATCATGTTATTTAGTTAAAGGTCTTGCTTTTCATGTCTAGCCAATCGCTAAGCGTAATCTTTCAGAGAATCCATAATTTTTATGAAATTATTACATCAATTAAAAAATCGGGGTTCCCTAAATTTTGGCCCTTTTAAAATCATTGATATAAGAAGGATTAAGTTTCAGATATTCGATATCTAGGCTCTGTAAAGTTTTCTTGTAATTAAAAAGTCTGCTTTGCGCTCTGAGTCCGCATGCAGTAGCGGAATGACAATGGAATATAGCTATCTTTTATATTAAAATTCAGAGTTTTTGAGATAAATCTCTCTGTCTTTCATGATTTAAGTACGTCCGTGTAGGTATTGAAATATCACGTCCAAGTAATTGTGTCCATAACTTAGATCAGAGAGCACGTTTTATCCTTATCGACCATTTTACCCCTATCTACACAAAGCACTTATGTCAATCAAATTCATTGCTCGTGCAACTGCATCGTTTTTGTTGTGATTGAAACTTTGAAAATGAGGGTTCTCTGTTCCGTAGCGATTTTGTTAGCCACTTTTACATTAGTACGATGCTCAGGGCCTATAAACGGAACATGTAAGGGTACAAAGTTTAGTTTCTGCGACTGGGCCGGATGGAGCAAATGGACCAACTGTACAAACCAGTGTGGACAAGGAACCCAAGAAAGAAAACGTTTTATATGTTGTCCCCCCGAATATAATGCATCTACTATCCTAACCTGTGTCGAAAAACTCTGTTCTCATAGTTTGTCTGACTATACAGAAAACAAGACGTGTGTCTCCCGAGCCCACTGCCAAGGTATGTTGAAAATATATTTTATAAAACCTATTACACTATAAATCTATTTATCCTGTTTCTGATCTCTCAATATGCAGATTACGTGTTCATAGATGGAGGATACAATTTCTAGCTCCATACAGTGTAACAGAAATAAATGTCAACTTTTAAATTGTAGCCATGATTTTGTTATATTACTAAAAATTAAGAATATGCGATATATTATCACTTTTATTTACTGAAAATTTGACATCTTGTTTCCTTTCTATAGGAGCTTATGCATTACAATTTTCATAAAATCGGGACGTTTATTTCTATATAAAGAATTAAAACTATTATAGTCATCTAAAAAATATTTGTGAAATAAGGGAACATTTTATATTTAAATCAATGCATTGTTCTTTTATAGTGTTTTGTTACGGGGGAGGGGGGGTCTAGTTTCTGACTAGATGAAATATTCAAAGTATATCTGCAGCATAGGCATCGGAAGCAAATTGAAAGGGGGAGGGGGAAGGGTAATTGGAAGTGGGAGGCTAAACCAACAAAAAGGTAAACCTCAATTTTCAATGTCTATATAATGTCTATCTTTGCAAAAAAAGGGGGGGATTAAGCCCCTCTAGCCCCCCTCCCGGTTCCGACGCCTCTGTGCAGATATGTCTTACATAAATATGCGTAGATATTAAAGATTTAAAAGATCATAATTTTCTTTCCTTATAACAATTTTACAGCTTTAAATAAAAAAGGTAAACAGAGTATAAAATCAAGCAGCGAATACATTTTTTACTGATTTAAAGCTATGTCTAAATACAGACTAATTCATTGTCATCTCTGTCTAATATAACACACAAACTGATTCATAGCCATTTCAGTCTAATACATGTATATACATATCCATGTTATGAACACTAACTTATATCATCTCAGTCTAACTTATAAATGTTATACGTACACTGATTTATTGTCATCTCAATATACTGCCCTGCGCACTTTTTACATCCAAACTCACATGGGTTTTCGCACAAATTATGGTCACATTCTTCTTGTCATAAATCAAAACATTATCGAACTTCAATCAACGACATAACCATAATATTGTAATATATTGTTTAACGTCCCTCTCACCTCTAGAGTCGCGAAGTAATTGATCCTTCCGTCGCGGGTTAGAATCCCGCTGTGGGTTGTGGACACCTGTCCTTCGGATGAGACCGTTTAAAATGAGGTCCTGTGTCGTAATAGCTAGGTGCAGGCACGTAAAAGATCTCTTAATGCTCAATAGCCCTGTGTGCCGAGCATAGGACAAAATTTGCAGCTCTCCACCGGCATATCTCCATATGAGTCAAAAAATCTCGAGAGGGACGTTAAACAACATATACAACCAATTAATAAGATATTTTCATTCATATGGATCAAATTTCAAATTCCTCGCCCACTGACGTTTTTATAGAGCTGGGTATTGCGACTGAAAAATCGTATCGCGATATATTGCGATATTAAATTTTGTATTGCAATATTATATTTACTTTTATTTTTACCTTTTTTTCTATAAAGACATAACAAAAAATAAATTTTCTTTTCTTTTATTCAAACTCTATTACTGATTTAGTTATTTTACTGTTTTGAACACAAACTATAATAATAATTGAAACTAAAAAAAACTGAATACAAAAACTATGCAAAAGTTACTAATAGTTGTGAAAACAAACTCAAAAAATTGAATACAAAAACTGAGAAACTTATGACTAGATAATTTTGAACACATAGCAAATTCAAAAACAGTTCCTAAGACACTTGTCTTGATATAAGCATCAGGAATTCATGATTACTGCAGATTTTTTTTCAGGAAGATAAGTTTGTCCACATGACAAGGTTTTAAACAATATATATATAAAAAATTCTTTCTGATGCTACTGAAGTTGCAGGAATACACAGAATTTTTCTTGCCAAAGAAGCCACTAAAGGGCATAATCCACCACTGTAAGGGGTACTGTTAAAAGGTGCAGGTCAGACTTTTATAAGTTTCTATATTTTCTGTAAAACAGGTTTTCTCTTATGTAAACATACACATATATACCATACAGGACTGTTATTGTTATTATTGCTGTCAATGTCAACAGCAACTTCTCCAGTTGGACAAAGTTCAAATTTAATGATGGTAATGGTGGAAAGTTTCCTTGGGTTCTTGTTTAATTTTCATTGGCCCAAGTTCAGCAAGTTTGTTGATTACATTTGAATGAACTTCCTCTTTCAAAGTGTCATCTAGGAAAGGCAGTGATTTAAATCATGTAAAAATTCTCTTTGATATATCTATGCTGCAGATCCTTATAATCATATATTTATGGCATCTTATGCAAATGCTCACATTATGACTGATATGGTGGGCATGCTCTCAGAGCAGAGAGAAGTTGTCAACATAGTTTCACATTCCATGTCCTCAGCAAAAGCTAAGTCTTCATCTGTGAATGAATTAATGTCTTTGTGTTTTAAACTAGAACTGTTGTTACATTTCAAGCACATTGCATTTCAAACTATAAACCATATAACAACGTTAATCTATATAATTTGTGTGCACATCTGTAAAATTCCTCTCAGCTTTGCAGTTGCAACGCGATAAAAAGGCAACAATCTTTCTCATTCTAGCAAGAATATGGGATACTTGCTTCACCTTGAGAGACTTTTGCGCTGCAAGGTTAAGTGTATGTGCATAACATTTTATGTGATGTTGTGCTTGAAACAAGATATTTTTCATATTGCTAGCATTGTCAAAACATTGGAGGTCTTGGATTATCTGATAAAACTACAATGTTTTCACCTACAAAAAAATTAATTTGTAATTAAAATTAAAATCATATCTCCCAGTTTAAGTATGCTTTGAAAAAATACTTAATTTCTTGTTTATTAATATTCATTTCCTTTAGCTTTTTTTAAAATCAAATTTCAGATTTATACCTGTGTGGTTTTCCGATAAAACTCTTGATAAAAAATTTTGTATAGTCTGTGTCCATAAATACGGCAGTTATTGTAATAAACGTGAAACCATCCATCAGTTGTTAGTGCCACCTAAACAAATTTCAAAATTGCTTAAATGTAATACTTATTTATTAAATACATCAACAACATAATATTAAATGTTATACCTTACAGTTTCTCAGAGAAAAAAATGAATAAGATTTTGATGATTCCTTATCATAATTGATTTTTTTTTTACAAATTCATTTAAGTTAGGATGAATGCACTGATAATTATAAATCAACAAAATCTATTGTTAACATTTTATTACACTGTACATCTTGGGAATAAACTGTTTTCTTCCAGGAATGGTGTACCTAATAAAAAAATTATAGAAGCAACGTTATGTAGTTTAACTTGTACACACAATATTTCTCTGTTAAATATAAATGTAACAATTATCAGAGTGACAGTGAAAACTATATGTAAATCAATCTATTCAATCATATCATTTTCATTACTTAAACATGTTCCCGTTTATTAAAATAAAATCTTACCTAGGGTCTAGTATTTTAACGTTTACAGTATCTTTGATAATAAGCCTATTTGACTGTAATTGCTCGTTTATCAATTGTGAAAACATATTGTTGTCAGCTCATTTTTGTTTTGAATTTGGCCGTGATGTCCATGTATTTGTTGCCTCCAGAGTATTTAATACTTTCGTTACAATAATCACACACTGCAATATTTGCAACAACTTTCTGATTTTCTTTTCTTGTGATAAATCTTCTCATTTCTTAAAGTTACCGTGACAGTTGATTTTTCTCTGTAATCAAGGGCAAGTAACTCTTTTACAGAATATCAGAATGTAACAAAAAAATACCGCGATACGTAGGCAATATCGGCACTCATGCATATTTGGCCTCCTTAGCGTCAGACACATAGACATATGCGCACGAAATTTGCATGCATATTGGGCCTCCTTAGCTCCTGACCTATCGACCTGCCTGATTTACATTCTGGTAGAATTATCAAAAAATCAACTCCGCTAACTTACAAAAAATTCACAAAAATGAGCTAAACATAGTTTCACAATTGATAAACGAGGTTTATCGACTGTAAACTATAGCTAACAAACCGTGAACTACAGTTAACAATACGTTTACTATAGTTTTCACCTGTAAAACTATATTTAACGGTTGTTAACTCAATGCTAATCGGCTGCCTTTCACGTTTGTAAACTATGATTTACCACCGTGAACTATAGTTAAGAGTTATTAATCATAGTTTCACAAATCGTGAAACTGTATTTATCAGATAATCTATGTTTTAACAAATGATAGTTTTCAGAAATTGACATGGTTTACAGTCTAAAATATAGATTAACCATATGAATGAAAATATTTTATTAATTGACTATAACTGCTATATTACCTGTACTTTGCATTAATCTCATGTCATTCTCCAAATGAATTGTAAAGACTGTTAGCATGAGTTTGTATGTATATATGTGCATGTTTCATAAGGATTTACAATGACTGACCTCCCATTTTCGATTATTTTCTTTGTTTATATATATTGTATTAATGCTATAAGGCGTATGTCTTTTGCAATAAAGAAATTGAAATTGAAACTTTTCATATGATTTCAAATTTTGTAATACCTTTTCTATGCTACCAAAGCTGCAAACAGGAAAGTTGAAATTGATTATGACGTCATAATGGATCTAGCACTAAAAATAAGTCTAAAGTCATTTACTAGATATTGACCTTAATAATGTGAGTTAAAAAGTGCAAACAGCTGTTTATCTTTACATTAGGAGTAAGGAAGATCGTCTTTGCTGATTTAATCCTGCATCACTTGAAATTTTGCATTGAATATGGGTCTTTAATACCAGGAGCTCTATCAATAAACTTTTCTTGATATTTACTAAATATATAACTTTTGCTTTAAAGAAAGGTGGGGCACATTAAATCTTGTTCATGCATATGTGTCTGACTGTCATGAAATCCGTGAACATATATATTGCTTATATTACTTTAAAATGAGAAATGATACTAGAGGTCTTTTATATT